TGTTGAGTTTGGTGCTGGCGAGGCCTGAGGTGTCTGCAGAGCTGGAGTTACCTGCTGCTGCTGCAGCGGTGACGCTGCTAGAGGTCCTGACTGTCGGCGTTGTTTAGTCCCACGGCGCCTTAGTAGATGGCCGGAAAGATTCGTCGTGTTTCCGTGGTTTTTTATTTGTCTTCTACATATTCTACAAACAGCGACTTATTTAGAACACCTCCGTGTTTGCAAAAGCCAAAATGTTTCCACGCGCTGTATCAATAAGTTAGTTTGTAAAGGTCTCGCTCGCAGTCGTCTCCTCCACGCTGTGTTTTGTTGTTCAGAGTTTCGCGCGGCTGCCGCTGCGTACTGTTGACGTCACAGACAGGCAGACTGAATCCAGTAACGTTTAACGTGTCTAAAGGGCTAAAAAACAAACATCCACACAGTTTTTGTACTTGAATCCAATGTGCAGTTTCCAAGTATCGATACAAATCGATTATGTACCATTTCAAATCGATATGTCGTCCGGAATGCCGATTTGCGGAGCACAGATCGATTCAGTTGGATCGCAGGAATATAATATCGATTCAGTGGATGAATCGTTACACCCCTAGTATTATTCTATTACAGTTGTTTTACAATATTTTTTATTACTTTATTGATTACAGTTTCAGAATCATGAATGTATTCTGGTGTACACTATATGCATTTTATTAAATTATGAACCAGGTTGTCAGTTTATTTCTAATACCCAACAGTATTTTGTATGTAGTATTTGTATTTCTAAAACAGTAAATTGATGACTGCTACTTTGAGAGATCTAGCTAGCAATGTTTGAAAAATGTTTTATCAATAAAAAGATATATAGTTCGTCAGGTATTTTAATTATTACATTTGAGGAAAAAACACTTCTCTCAGCTTTTGACCTTCAGGCAACTAAGTTACTGACAATTAGTTGGATGTCAGAGATTCACTCTCTCTCCGCTTGGCAACCCGTGAATAAGATTTTTTATTAGACAGAACTGGACAGTATGTGACTGGCTGAGAAACAATAACCTGAACACACACCTTCTGGCCCAGTTGAAAGCAATAGAAGAATAAAAAGTTGAATAAATATTCGAAGAACAATACTTAAATTTATTAGTGATGAATAAGCATTAAAACAATGTATACCAACGGATCAATCCAACAAAAATAACACAGTAAAAAAACTCAAATGCATATCAGAACTTTGCATATATTTAACTTACACTCATGAGGTTGCAGCCTAACAAGCCCAAAATCGCAAATTACAAATTTGTCTCAGAGGGCTTTACAGTCTGTACACATACGACATCCTCTGTCCCGAAACCCTCCATCGGCACAGGAACAACTCCCCAAAAAATGTAAAAACCCTTCCAAGAGAGAAAAAAGGGAAGAAACCTTAGGGAGAACGTCAGAGGAGGATCCGTCTCCTGATGGACAGACTACAATGATGTCATGTGTACAGAATGAACAATGTATAATACATGAGACTATATGACAGAAATGATTCAAGTAACTGTGAGTAGTAAACCAGACGCACAACAGGACCACTGCAGGGACCACCACCACCACATAGAACCACCATCACATAGAACCACCATCACATAGAACCACCATCACATAGAACCACCATCACATAGAACCACCATAACATAGAACCACCATAACATAGAACCACCATCAGATAGAACCACCATCACATAGAACCACCAAATGTATTAAACTTCCCTTCAACTTTCTCTAATTTCAGCAATTTTCTGAAGTTCATTTCAGCTTTCAGCTTTTTGCATTCCAACGCATTTTCAGCAGGAAATGCATTTTCTAGCTCTTTTTCTTCTCTTTATTGTCTTTTCGTTTTTTTCCATCTTTTTCTTTGTCATCGTTTGTCGTCTTTTCTTTTTCTTTGTTATGTTCTTTGTCTTTGTCGTCTTCCTTGTCTTCTTTTTTTCTTTGTTGTCTGTCTTCTTTTTCTTTTATCGTCTTCTCTTTCTTTTCATCTTTTTCTTCTTTGTTGTCTTTTTTCTTTTTCGGCTTTGTCTTTTTGTCGTCTTTTTTCTTTGTCGTCATCTTTATTTTTCCTTTTCTTTGTTGTGTTTTGCTTTGTCGACTTATTTTTCTTTGTCATCTTTTTTGTCTTTGTCGTCTTTTTTTTTCTTTGTCGTCATCTTTTAATTCGTTGTCTTCGTTTTCTTTGTCAACTTCTTTTTTTTCTTCTTCTTTCTTTGCCGTTGCTACGTCCACAAAGTGAAACAATAATGTTAAAAAATTAACAGTTTATCAAAGTCTGTCCAGCCAGTTTCCTATGATTCCTGAACTTCTGTCTGTAGGCCTCTGGCACAAGCTCATAGCTACGCAAAATAGACTCCTTAAGAACCTCATAGTTCAAACTATCTTCCAACCAAAGAGATGACACTACTTCCTGTGCCTTACTTACCAACTTACACTGTAATAAGATTACAGGGCCACATTTCCTTGGGCCAATCTAGTGCAGTTGCAATCCTTTCAAATGCACCAAAGTAAGAATCAACTTCCAGCTCTTAATGTTGGCACAAGTGCAATAAGCTTACTTACATCAAACCTAGTTTTATGAACATCATATTTTGGTACACCCTCCTCAGATGAACGTTTTAGGGACCAATTGGAAGTGATTCTCATGGCCTCTAAATCAAGTTCCCATATTCTAACTTCTGCTCCCAGTTCTAATTTACGAAGGCGAGCCAGACGAACCTTTAGCTTAGCATCACTCCCGGAACCTCGGTTGCCTGGAGAGAAAGCCTCAAAGCGTGGTAATGTTGCAAGAGGAGGATCACTTTCCACTAATTTCCTCGGAGGAGTAGTTGATTCAATTTGCTCCTCCTTGGGCGTCTTTGGTTCTTCTAGGGAACCTGAATCATGTAATCTTCCATCATGAGTGGAATCAGGGTTGCCTGGAACCTCTAAAACATTTATTTCAGCCAATTTTCTTATCAATTTCGCCTTTATTTCTTTGTTCACACAATATATGGACACTACAATGTTGAAGTGTGCCGCAATGCTAAGTAAGTCGTCTTTACGACATCTCTCAACTTGCTCCACATTAGGACCATTCACAAAATCCTGTATACTAAACACCATTTTTACACAGATTTCCCATTACCAGTGACTCATCATCAATTCGGTTGTTGAGTTGTTCATGGGAAACAGATTCCGGACGAGTCCTCATTTGTTACGTCCACAAAGTGAAACAATAACTTTAACAACAACCAAATTAAACAGAGTCAAAGTGATGTTCAAAAAGTTTATTAAAGGACAACTGAAGGTTCACCAATGTGGTGGAGGTAGAGACAATATAGTTGTGCCAAATAATCAAAATTAACAAACCAAAACTAGGCCTAACTCAATCTGTCTTCTGTAAACACAACAAACAAAACGCTGACTGGGTGATCTACAAACAGCAGGTTACAGGGATTGGCAACAACCACTAAACCTAGTGTTTCTAGACATGAAAAAACCCTGGGTGCAAAAGTGCACAGGGTATCCCTGACTTTCCTATGCCCTCTACTTCCTTACCACACCTCATCGTCAATTTCCTTGTCTTCACAATTCAAATACTTCATTACAAATGAAACAGCCCCCCCTTTCTTGAGAGCCCAGAGTGTGGTGCCTCTCTTGTGTGCAGCCCACGACTGCGATTGGCTGGAAAGAACGAGTGTGAGCCACTCAGCAGCTGACAACCCATGATTAATGATGTCCTAAGGGACTCTAGACCATTTTGTTTATGTGTACCTGGATGATATTGTCATTTACTCACCTGACCTCGACACACACCGAGATCACGTAACCAGAGTACTTAAAAGACTGTTGGAAAACTCTACGTCAAAGCTCAAAAGGGTGTATTTCATGCCATCACAGTCTCCTTCCTGGGCTTCATAGTATCCCCTGGAAAGGTGCAGATAGATAGATAGATAGATACTTTATTGATCCCTCAAGAGGGAAATTTTGGAAGATGATGGATCCGGCTAACATTTACAGCAATTCCCCGGCATTGCTTTTACTTTTACAGATGGTTCATCAGATGCTTTAGCACAATAGCTGCCCCTCTCCATGCTCTTACCTCCTCAAAGGTGCAGTTCCAGTGGTCCCCAGAGGCAGAGACCGCCTTCCAGGATCAGGAAGGATCTCTTTAAAGTCCAGGTCTGACACACCCCCTTCTCAGTGGTAAAAAGCAGTTCTCCTGTGGTCAAGCTTTTGGGTCCTAACCTTGAACTCCCATGACAATAGGCTCATTTCAGGTGCCTCATCACTCTAATCAATCAGATTATACTTTTTTAAATGTACCTGCTGGCAGAAGGCTTTATGGAATTCGGAAATCATCCAATGATCCAGCGAAAATAATTATCTCAACTCTTTCAGAGTAAGACGATGTAAACAAGCCCAAAGAGTTTAATTGATATAAATGAATATTATTATATTCATTCATCGAAAGCGACGCAAGCCTAGAAAAATAGATCGACACACACAAGGACGCAAAGAGGTGTGAAAAGCAACGCAAGGGACGCGCAAGGGGGGCTTGCGTCTGCGTCGCTCTGAAAACGCAGAAGCATAAACTAGGCTGGGCATAAAGCCTGTGCCATCTTGGCATCAGGATGATGTTAAGTTTAATAAAACACAACAAATAGAACACGCGTTTCCCTGATTTCTTAGAGTATATTATGCTCATGCTGAAACTATGTTTGGGATTGATTTTCCGGTTGTTGGTGTGCCGTGAGATTTTTTTCTGTGTCTTAAATGTGCCTTGACGCAAAAAAGGTTGAAAAACACTAATCTAGCTCAGCGGTATAATTAACACACAAGACCAGTTCTTCACTCATAAAAACTATTTATTTCTCTCAATCATTATCAATGCATTTCCAAAGGTTGCATTCTTTACAGAAAATTAGAACAGAGGACAATTAACAGATTGTCAATTGTCACAAATTACATCCTTTGTGATAGAAAGCATGAATTATAGTTTTATTTTATTTGCTCATAATGTAATATTAACCATAATGTAAGAAGCCATTAGTGCACTTCATCATCAATCCTCAATCAGAGGTTTGATCCCCAGCTAGTTTGCATGTCCTTGAAGACACCAAACTTTGCTCCCGTAGCTGTGACCAAGGTGTGTGAATGTTAGTTGCTGATGGGCAGGTGTCACTGTGTGTGGTAGCTGCTGTCATCAGTGTGTGTGATCGGCTGAATAACGACATGAAGTGTTAAAGAGCTTTGAGTGGTCAGAAGGCTAGAAAACCAGTGTAGAAGACAGGAATATTTCTAGTTTCATATGACACAAGTAAAGCCCTTTATTTAACAAAACCTGACTTGGTCTGTTTGGTACGGTGACCCTCAAGTGCAAAACACAACGACAAATAGGAAAACACAACAAAATGAACTCCTTACGGAAAGGGTAGGGCCATATAGCAGAGGATGGACCCTTCTGATTGGACAGACGGACTGTCTGTCTTTTAACAGGAAAGGATGCAGGGCTCTCAAGTGTCCCCCATTTCGGTCTCTTGTCACGCAGTCCCGCCACACATCCAATTCCTCGGTCCCCGAGCCGTGTCGGCCATCGCGTCCGCGGCGTCCACCGGCCGTAGTGTTCGCGGCACCCGACCCCCGCGTAGCGTCCGCGGCAACCCCCCCACCCCCCCCTGCGCTTTTATTTACTTTTAAATACAACACCTAAATATAATTGAACAACAAAACAATGGTGAAACACTAGTAGGACACTTTTAAGACACTCGTAAAACATCGCCAGATCATGAGAAGGGTCCGTCCACTGCTTCCTGCTATAAGGCCCTTCCCTTTCTGTAAGAAGTCAATTTCGTTGTGTTTTCCTATTTGTCGTTGTGTTTTGCACTTCAAGGCCACCGTAGTTTGGTCTAGAGGACCTTTTCACTTGAATGTGTGGCTTAGTGTAAGACTGGAACGTAAAATGGTGACGGAGGAACCTCTAACCTACATCACCCGAGCGTCCCTCTTGCAAAACAATGATGCCATCCCTACACAGGCTTTGATTCCATGCGGATGGCTACCGTGTACAGTGTAGCACATAACCCACATATATATTCAGCTACAATTTTCAAAACAAAAGGTTTGAGCTATAAAAATCTAGTCGGACTGTAGCAGACAACAATGCATTCCAGCAGTACTACTGTTGACAAATATATCAAATTAAATGAATCTTTAAAAAACAAAATTCAAGATTCATCGAAAAAAACATTGTGTGTGTATATGTGTGTGTGAGATCCCAGAGTTCAGGTAGTCTGCTTGCAGACAGAGTCAGATCTACAACCGAAGAAAAGAATATTAATCCAAAATATGATCCTCCAAAAAGACAAAATATTGATTCTCAGCAAAGAACTAAAAAGGCACAGCACCTGTCAAAGATACATATATCTACTATCTTTATGCCAACAACGTATTTACACAACAACTATTATAATATTAAGTTCATCATACTGTAAGGGCTTTGAGGCATCAAGCCATGTCATGTCATGAGGACAATAATACTACATAATTCGGCCTAATTTTGACCATTTTCTAATCGGTCCTTCGACCACTAGCAAGACATCTAAATGAAAATGGGTTCTTTGGGTCCACGAGTCTCCTCTGTACAAGAAATGCCCTATTTTTCATGCAACAACCATGCAGTTTTTCTTTTCTGCATGGTTCTTACACTTGAGTTTTAACATTTTATGAGAGCCTCATGAAAACAAAATGTTTGTTATAGATTAACGACAAGAAAAACAGTACAGCACAGAGCGTCATCTCAAATGAATGTTCCGGTTCAGATGACATACTCTGCCTCTTTGTGGCACATGCTGTTGACCTGCTGTCACTCACTAGTAAAGAGACCCCCCCCC